TTCCAGCGGCGAACTGCCTGTTTCCGCTGCTCATTCCCGGCTGTGAGCGCCGGGCCTACCGGTGACATGGGTTACGGCTACGGATACGGACCACCAGCCATGATGCCTCCCCCCCAGCACCACCACGGACACATGGGCCATGGTGGCGGTCGCATGGGTGGCAGCGGTGTCGTGCCATTCCGCGCTGGAGATTGGAAGTGTGGCAATGAGGTCTGCGGTTACCACAACTTTGCTAAGAACGTATGCTGTCTGCGATGCGGCGCCAGCCGTGCTGGTGCCGCCGTCGTCGCTGACTCTGGTGGCTACCCTTCCCCCATGGACCCTCCCTCCAACTACAGCATGAGCCAGGGCTCCATGAGCGGTACCCCCGGACCTGGCCCCTTCGCCTCGGCCGGCGGTGGCTTCGCCTCCCAGGGCGGCGGCTACGGTGGCCAGCACTTCGGTGGCCCGCCCAGCACCTACGCTCTTCCCTCGGGCATTGGTGGCGGAGCTGCTCCTTACCCCTCCTCCCTCAACACCCACGGTTTCGGACCGGCCCCTGGATCCCACTCCGCCGGCCCCTTTGACAGCCGCGCTGCTGAGGCTGCCTTCCAGTCGGCCTCCAACGGCCCCGCGTCCGCCGGCCCTTCAAACAACTTTTACTCGCAAAACGAAAACGATCCCTTTGCGTTCCTTTCCAGCGGCATTGGCGGTCTGTCCGTCAGCGGCGGCGATGCCCGCCAGAACGGAGGAGCTGCGCCGCCGAGCAAGTCTCCCGCTTAAATAAAACCCTGGCTACAAATATGGGAATCTAGGCGAGCTACATTGGCTACCTTGGATCGTTTTTGAGGGCCTACTTATTTCTGTGGAACGAGCTTCGGAAACAAGACGAACATAGAGCATTGACCATTGGCAAATACCTTCAGGACTTACGCTTGCTTTCAACGGAAGGGGGTGTCTAGGTTTTGGAAGATCACTTGGAAGGAGGTTGGCTGTCGGTATACCAAGGGATGCGGGTAAAAAAGTTTGCAAGGCTGGAAAGACAAAAAGAGTGTTACACTACCGGAACGGACGGACACCACTGTTGGAATTGCTTTCTCCTTGACAAGCGTCAGTATAAAAGGGCTGGCTAGTTAAGGATTGTTGATTACGGCCGACCTTGCCTTTGGTTGGACGTTGCGGTTGCGGTACAGTCGGATTTTGGGCGGTCCAAAGGGGAGTGCATAGCGAAGGGAGTGTAACGGGTATACCTGGCCTTCATTGTGTGAGAGACGTGTTCATTTTCTCAATATTTCTAGTTTCTTTTTCCCACTCTCAAGTCATCATCATCATCATCACCGTTATTGTGTCTGGTCTTTTCTTCTTCCCTCTCTCGACATTTCTCCGTTTTCTCATTCCATCTGGCCTTTCTTGTCCCTTATCCTCCTCAACATCACAAAAACTTCCCTTATTCATCTCCCACCATTTCCAGATTGGCTTGGCATGTACACCCCCTCCCACCTCTCTTCTCTCGACACAAACACACATGGTTTTCTACACGGCGGAATGGGCGGCAGCGTTGTGGGAGTCGGGGAGTGAACAGGGTCCAGGGCAGGCTGGCTGGCTTTGGCTTTGATAATCTTGCTCATCAACTTTTTTCGAAAAAAAAAATTGCGATTTCGTGCTGTCCATCTTTGCCTTCCCAAGCATATCATTCTCATAGTGACTCTCTTGTTTTTTTCTGTCTCCAGAGGTAGTGGACGAATGGGGAAAAGTACGGACGTTGGTTGCCTTTTTGAATACGTCCATTTGCTTGTGTTGCCTCGATATGTTTTAGTAAGAAAAGTAGAGAAGGTGGGTTAGCATGGTGTTCCGGAAGTTACCCGGCCCAACCTGCCCTTGCTGTAACTGCTCCTAATTGACGTGCCTTTGCTTTTTCAAACTGAGCGAGTAGCCTTGTGGACAAAGTGTCAGCTATTTCGAGCATTGGACGGGATCCTGACGGTAAAGAGCATCTTGGTGAGCCTCCAGGCGTATGAGGCCTTGCCACACCTGGCTAGCCCCAATGACATTGCCTCTCAATGACGAGCTAGGTCGTAAAATGATTATAAAATTTTTTACAAAAAGGGCCAGCCACTCTGCCAAATGGACATGGCTCCGGAACTGACAGTGTATTCGGGATCTTCCCGTAAAATCCAGGAGAGCATGTGTCACGTACATAAAATTAGGACAATTCAGTTAAACGTTGAAAGGATAGCATAATGGGAATCCGAAGTTATCTCCACACATGACCGTAGACGCCAAAAAGACAAAACGAAATGGGAAAAGTGCCATCCTCCGAGTCAATCGCCGCCGTTTTAGTCCCCCGTCCACCCTAACCAACTCTAGTATTGGTGAGCCAGTTAATAACGCTACTTGTAAGTATTCTTGAGACTCCACCTTGCCTATCGGTCAATCTCGTCGAGCGGCAAGTCGCCGTCGTCCCTGCCGACAATGGAGTCGGCCACCTTCCAAATCTGAAGCAGATTGTCCTCGGCAGCGCTGCAAACGAGCCAGGGTTCGTTGGGGTTCCAGCTGAAATCTGCCAGGTGGTTGGTGTGTCCACCATGCATGAAAAGACTGTGCGAGCGTGTAAGCGACTGAGAGCTGCTCCAACTTCCTTGAATAAGAGTGAGACTTACAGTTCCGGGGGTCCGTCCTCCTGGTCGTCGGGCATCTGCTCCTCCCCGACGCGGGAGAGGTCCCAGAAGATGACTCTTCTATCGTAGGAGCCACTGCCGAGAATACCAGCCTCCTGGGGGTGCCATGAGAGAGAGGTTACTGCATCGTTGTGTCCCTCCAGCGTGTGGACCTTTTCCTTGACGTTTCGAAGATCCCAGATACCCAGGGTCTTGTCGGCTGATGCCGTAGCGACGAGCACTTCAGATGTGGGGTTGAACGCCAGGGCGTTGATTGCATCCAAGTGACCGCGCTTGGCAATCACTGCAGCGCGAGTGGTATCGGGTTGTCGCACATCGATGATTTGCATGGTGAGGTCGTCCGAGACAGTTCCAACAAAGCTCTTGGCGATGGGGTGGTATTGAACATCGTTCACAATCTGAGTGTGGTGTGTGTACTTGCGGGTGGGCTTCAGAATGTTGCTGCCGCTTTGCAAGTTCTTGAGGTCCCTGTTGCCAACTTGGTTAGATTCATGATTGGCAGGGGTGGTACAACGAGACGAACCAAAGGCAGACGGTAGTATCCTCACTACCAGACGCAAGGCAGCCCTCCTCGTGGGGGTTCCAGGCCAGACCGAATCCTTCCTGCTTATGACCAATGAGTTCGATCTGAGCGTTGACCTTGCCAGTGGGCTGCAAGCTGTGCTTTGTGCGGTCGAAGACGAGGACCTTGCCGTCGACGCACAGCGTTGCAATGATGTCAGGGTTCTGAGGCTGGTAGCGTGCCTTGTTGATCTCACCGGGGTGGTCAATCTTTTGCACAATGTTGAACTCGACAGCGGTCGACTGCCCATTTGACGACTTGCCATGACCTCCAACCTCCCCAGTCTCCTCATTGTAGTCTTCGGGGTTCGGGGCAACAGACTTGGGGATCTTGACTTCGGCAATTTGTACGTGGTTTGGGAGGCCTTCGGATGTGTGTGTGCCGAGGAGCAGTCTGTGAATTCGGTAATTCTTGTCTTCGGGCTCCTTGACGTCGGGAAACCATTGAGTGGTCAGTGTAGGCCATTCGAGAGCCGTGCTATCGTGTTTTTAGTAACATCCAAATTTGAGACTTGGAAGCTTTTTATACCTAAGAATCATGTCGTAGAGAAAGGGGCTGTTCTTCTTCCATGTCTTGTACTCTAGTATCATTTCAGTCAAAGTACGTATGGAAGCCTAGTGTCCCGTAATAATCTACCTTCGTTGATAAGACGCTGCTCCTGGTCCTCATCCTCTTCTTGGATCATGTCGACTAGCAGATTGGTCAGTTTGTGATGGGAGTTGGAGCTCGTCTGCGAAGCTTACCGTCCACATCGTCGACAACCTGAGCGGGCGCCATCGTGTAGAGTTACTAAACCGATTCAATTCTCTTTGATTAAATTTCGCAAAACGCTGGTCGGTGGACTTGTTAGATGTGCTCAGCTTCGCACCGCAATGATCGGAAAGTTCTTCTTGCTGGCGCAAACGACGGTCGGGTGGAGGTTGACGCGAGGTGGAGATTCTAGAAGAAGACGCGCAGCAGCGCGTAGATTGAAATTTGGCGGCAGAGGTACCTTGGCCCGAGCAGGCAAGGGCCAGGAAGGCTGGGAGGCGTCTGCCACGCCAGGGCGAAACGGGGATGGGGCAGAATCGAGCATACCTTAGGTACTCCCCCCACATTTTGGAGCCAACGCACCAGCCTCAGCTCCCAGGCCTCGGCGGGGCAGAAACTGTGGCGCAGTCTAGGCCAGGACAGGCACCAAAGTTCCAGCGCCTTGTGGAACGAGTAGAGTCATACCGTGAGGGCCAGAACCACGCATGAGCCTCTGTAGCCACTAGCGCTACTGGATTCTCCCACCTAGCCCCGCCATCGCCCGAAAGCTGGAGGCGGAAGTTCCTGCCCTACATCATCCAATATCGATTGCGCCCATATCAGCCAGCATCTAGCGTCAGGTCCATCTGTCCAGCTTCACCTGCGCAACCCAAGATTCCACGCTCACGACCTCTCAACCCTCCCTTCCTCACACAGCTCGACAGACCGAGTTCCCTGTACACCTGGTAGAATCGCAGACAAGTCTGGCTATTTGAATAGCCGACTGTTGAATATTCTTTCACTTGTTCATTTATTCTTTTCTTTTTCCACGTCGTAACCAGCTTGCGACAGGCTCACCTGGACCTCCTGTGTCAGGACCTCCTTCGTGTTTAGAGAGGAAGACAAACAACCCCCTCAACTGAAATTTTGCGCCGCATCGAGACGGATTCAGACAGACTTCCATTCGTCTGTTGAATCACTACTTTGCCACAGAACTTCATCAACTTCATCGTTAGCTGCGCTTTGCCCAAGCGCGCCACCATCACCAAATCATGGGGTCCGTCGAGCTTCAACTGCGATCTTTTCGCACTTTGCTAACGCCGTCGCCCGCAGTGTTCCCAAATTCTTCAGATGGCTCTCGGAGCGCTATCCAGCCATCTCTCAGCTCATTGCCGAGAACCGCATTCCCGAGTTCGACTGTCTCTATGTTCGCCTTCCACTAATTTGCCCCCTCTCCGAGCACAATAACTAATTATCTGGGGCAGCTGGATATGAATGGTATTATCCATAATTGTACACACAAGGATTCGGGCGAGGATACGACATTCCGTCTTACTGAGGAGGAGATGTTTATACGCATCTTCAATTACATTGAGCATTTGTTTGGAAAGATCAAGCCGAAGCAGCTCTTCTTCATGGCCATTGACGGTGTTGCACCGAGAGCCAAGATGAATCAACAGCGCGCTAGACGTTTTCGAACCGCCCTCGATAACGAAAAAGCCCGTGACAAGGCAATCGCTGAGGGTGTCGAGATGCCCAAGGAGCCTCCTTTCGACAGTAACTGTATCACGCCTGGTACCGAGTTCATGGCCAAGCTGACGCAGCAGCTCAAGTACTTCGTCAACAAGAAGGTTTCCGAGGACGCCGACTGGCAGGGCTGCGAGATTGTCCTGTCTGGCCATGAGACCCCAGGTGAGGGCGAGCACAAGATCATGGAGTACATCAGGAACGCCAAGGCGCAGCCTGACTACGACCCCAACGTCCGCCACTGCTTGTACGGTCTCGATGCCGATCTCATCATGCTGGGTCTACTCAGTCACGACCCTCACTTCTGTCTTCTTCGAGAGGAGGTCACCTTTGGCCGAGCAAGTAAGGCCAAGAGCAAGGAACTGGAGCACCAGAACTTCTACCTGCTGCATCTTTGCATAGTTCGAGAATATCTGGAGTTGGAGTTCCAGGAGCTCAAGGAGCCTGGTCGGCTGAGCTTCCCCTTCGATTTGGAACGAGTCATTGATGACTTCATCCTCATGGCTTTCTTTGTTGGAAACGATTTCCTGCCTAACCTGCCCCGCCTCCACATTAACGAAGGTGCCCTTGCGGCCATGTTCCGCATCTACAAGTCTGTGCTCCCTCAGGGACAAGGCTACATCAACGAGGGCGGTGTCATCAAGCTTGACCGTCTTCAAATCCTCTTGAATGAGCTTGCCAAGGACGAAACCAACCAATTCGAGGACGATGTCAGCGACGAGAAATGGTATCAGTCCAAGAAGCTCTCTGAAACCAATGGTGGCGATAGCCGCAAGCCAAAGGGCAAGGGACTCGTTCTGAGCTCTTCCCAGAGAGACCTGTGGAAGCAGCAAATCAGGCCCTATGTCAATAAACCCTCATCTGAACCCTTGGATCTTGGAACTGGCTTGAACGCTGCCGATCGCAAGTTTGTTCAAGATCTTGCAGACTCCCTCCACATTGAGTGGAGCACTAAGGAGGATGACGAAGGCCATCGCCATCTCCTTTTGTCATTCCCCAAAGGCGCAGAGAATGTCAATGAAGAAGAGGAGGAGGGTACTCTTGCACTCTACCGAGTCATGCGCAACTATGACAAGGCCACTGTCGTCGATGTCAGTGCTGAGGATGCTCAGAAACACTATAAGGAACTTTACGATCAAAAGTACCAGGGTTGGAAGACCAAGTACTACTTGCAGAAGTTTCCTGAATGGGAGCCTGAGAAGTATGAATCCGAGCTGACAAAGCTCTGTGAGAACTACGTGCAAGGTCTTCAATGGGTCTTGTACTACTACTACCGGGGAATCGCCTCGTGGCCTTGGTACTACCAGTACCACTACTCCCCTCTGACCTCAGGTAGGTGAGATTTTGCACTACACATGATAACGTGCTAAAAATCATCACAGATGTTGTGAAAGGCCTTGGAGCGGATCTCAACTTCAAGTTGGGCCAGCCATTCAGACCGTTCGAACAGCTCATGGGAGTCTTGCCCGACCGAAGCAAGTCTATTGTCCCAGACATTTACTGGGACCTCATGACAAACCCAAACTCGCCCATTTACGACTTTTACCCAAGAGACTTTGAGCTCGATATGAATGGAAAGCGCATGGAGTGGGAGGCTGTTGTGAAGATCCCCTTCATTGACGAGAAGCGCTTGCTCAGTGCGATGGAACCCAAGAACAAGCTTCTCAGCAAGGACCAGAAGGAGAGAAACGGCTTTGGCGTCGCTCTCAAGTTCACCTACAACCCCGATGTCTCCATCACCTACCCCTCATCTCTGGTTGGTGTTTTCCCCGACATTACTCCTTGCCACTGTGTGGAAAATATTTTCGAGCTCCCCAACACCGAGGGCCTCAACTTCCGTAATGGCCTTGTCGATGGTGTCAAAATCAACATTGAGGCACTGGCAGGATTCCCGACGCTGCATACGTTGCCTTACACGGCATCGCTGATTGAGGGCTTTGGTGTCAACGTATTTCAGGCGGACAGCAAGAACCCCAGTCAGATCGTTACCCTGACCGAGTCCGAGATTAGGACGAGAGCCCAGGTCGCCGCAGGAAAACTAGGCAAGCGATGCTTTGTTGGATATCCTTTCTTACAGGAGGCAAAGGTTGTCAAGGTCACCGATGAGCTTTTCGACTATGAGCTCGACCAAAACGGTGCAGTCGCCCAGAAGCACCTCGGACCAAAAGACATGAGCTTCTTCGCCAAAGAGTCCCGCTACATAGAGGAATGGCACTCCAAACGTCTGGGCATCGTCATTGGTGACGTCGAGTCGCTAGTGCATGTCCATATGCTTAAGGGACTGATCAAGACCGAGGAAGGTGCCTTGATCAAGGAATACGCCTTGAACCCCAGCATGAGAAGCGTCTATGCTTCTCAGACCATTGTTGACGAAGTCGTCAACGAGGACCAGCGTTTTATTGAGAAGGCTGCTGTCCCTATCGAGGAGGAGTACCCCATCGGCACCCAGGCTTTCTTCTTGGGCGAGTACAACTATGGACGAGCTCTCGAGGTCACTGGCCACGCCAACAACAAGGCCAATATCCGCGTCCTTGTCCTGAAGAACAAGGAACCCGAATTTGCCAAACCCATCATCCAAGAAATGAAGCGCCAGAATCGATACACCCCTTCATATGCGGTCGCAAAGATGCTTGGCCTCCATCCCTTGATTCTCAGCAAGATCCTGTCTTCCTATCAAGTCAACACCGTCGGTGGCCTCCGCGTCAACCTCGGTCTCAACTTAAAGTTTGATGCGAAGAAGCAGAAGGTGCTCGGCTACTCTCAAAAGTCGGACTCTGGCTGGGAGTTCAGCAACGCCGCTATCGAGCTATTGGCCAGATACATTGCTGCTTTCCCGGATTTCTTCGCCGCCATCCAGCAGAATCCTCAGGCTAGTGACGTGAGCGATACCGATCTCTGGAAGGACCCCAAAGTGGGCTCTCAGCGAGTGAAGGAAATTGGAGCCTGGCTCAAGGAGGCGCAGACCCGCAACTTTGAGAGAGTACCCTTGGAGGCCGAGCAGCTCGACTCGGTCGTGGTCATGAAGCTTGCTGAGGCCGGTGCGCAGGCCTTCACCCAGTCGCACGAGGTCGAGGTCAAGAATATGAAGGGTGTTCCTCGCTCAGCCATCATGAAGCCTAGCGATGCCGAGCTCTTCCTGAGCGGCCAGAAGTTTGCCCTTGGCGACCGAGTCAGCTTCCTGTCTTCTTCTGGCAAGGTGCCTCTCGGCAGCCGAGGTACTGTCGTCGGCCTCAGCAGGACTGCCAACAACCTCCTCTTGGACGTTGTCTGGGACTTGACCTTCATGAGTGGCACGACGTTGGGTGAAAGAGCCCCGCCTTTCCGGGGTATGACGGTCGCCTCCTCTTCAGTGCTGAACACCACGTTCAAGCAGGTTGTTTCTGGCTCGAAGGCTGGATTGCAGCGCAAGCCAGCCACAGCCCCGGCGTCGCTCACCACTGTGGCAACGGGTGTTCCTCAATACAGGGATGCGCCTGCCCCCGACCGTGGTGCTTGGCGTGGTAGTGCCAACGGCGGCCAGGGTCAGCCTGGCCGCGGCCGCGGCCGTGGAGGCGGTCCGAACTTGCTCCACAGTACCCTTGTCTACAGACCTCATCAAAACGGTCAAAATGGTGCCGAGGAGAACCACGAAGCCAACGGACAAGGCCAGCGTGGCGGAGGCTTCAGAGGCAGAGGCCGCGGCCGCGGTGGACCGATTCAACACCCCGGCTACTCTGGTCTTCACGAGCAGCCGGCTCAGCAACCAATGTACGGCAACGTGCCGCCTCCAGCCAACCTCGACGCTCGTGGCAGAGGTCGTGGCCGCGGTGCCCGCGGTGGACGCGGCAGAGGAGGCCCTCGCGGCCGTGGTGCGAACGGGACAACGAATGGAGCGACTGCTGATGCGGCTCAATCCTAAGGGCAAATTATTTGGTCAGATTTCTATGGTCCTTTTTGGTTCGGCAAATACCCCTTGATGAACCGAGTTGGTTTCTGATAGACGGCAACGGTTCCCAAAAGGGTCTACGGGTTATAGAAATGGCATTTGCATACGGAACGCATAATGACGGATTCATGGTTTTGTAGACCACTTTCCGACTTTGGAGATGGTTGGTCCCAAGTAGCTAAGACGAACCAACGCCATAGGTAGAATCTGGAAATTAGTGCATGAAGATGCCTCATCACAATGGCCCCGGGGAAAAAAAATCACTGCTGAGAGGGACAAAAAAGAAGTTGAAGAATATGACATTTCCAGCTCGGAGTTTTTTTTTTTTAAAATACGCCAAAGTCCAATTTCCTACCCACATTCAAGGCTTCTTCTCCTTTACTTTGAGAGCGGGAAGCTTAAAGACCTTGCTGATACCACCCTTGAGTGCCTTCCAGCCGCCGATATCCTGGTTCTGGTTCCACGTCAAGATGCCAACCCACGGTTGGACGTTGTAGTGCAGCTTCAGGACGACCTTGTCGGCTTCGGCGATCTTGCTCGAGGGGTGGGTGATTTGGTACTTTGGTTTCTGGTTCTTGATGTGAAGCTTGCCACTGCGAGGTTGTAAGCCTACTGATACGGTTTACGTGTGGAACTTGGGACCATAGCCTTACCGGTTGGGGTCAATGCTCTTGCCCTCGGCGCTCTTCCTCAGCTTGCGCATGGCGGCGGGACCAATATTGGCGAGGTGGTCGGAGCTGGGGGCGGTAATGATCTGGTCCCAGATGACGGCCTGGTTCGTGGCGTTTGTGCCGGCGGCGGCCTTTGAGCTATCGGGCCATTCCGCCGTGACGTAGACGAAGACCTGCTTGGTGTTCCAGGTGAAGAGCTCCGAGAGGTCGGCGTCGAGGGAGAACTTGATGATGGCGTACTCCTCCTTCTTGGAGGAGTAGTAGTGGGGGCGGCCTTTGACGACCTGGACGTTTGTAGTCTTGAGGGAGCCGACGGAGGGGGCGCGCGGGGTGATGAGGTCGGAGGCGGCGATGAAGGCGGCGACGAAGAAGGCTACCGTCGTGAAGAAGCCAAAGGTGTTTTGGGCGCGGGTTATGGTGTTGTACATGTTGACGACCTGGCAACCCGGGGGTGAGGCGGGCTGATTTTGTGTGGTCGGAAAAAGAAGAAGACTGAAGTGCTTGTCAACAGCTGGATTGCATGAAGGGAAGAGAGGGAAAGGGAATTTGAAGCTTTTGTTTGCGATAGGATGCGACGCGGGAGGCCACGTTTGGGGGGACAAGCTTCAGCCTTGCGGAGATGGAGATGTGGCTTTAGCGCGCTATTGGTCGCAGCTTCAGATTGTGAGGTCCCTGGGAGGAGGTACTCGGGTACATTTGCGGCTAAGCTACCGAACCGGTGGTGTGGTCTGGGGGGCCGTTAACGGCTCTCAGAGTGGAGTCTAACCGGGCCTATCATGAGAGCTCAGTGTGGCATTTACCTGCATTCCTTGTCGGACATCTTTAAGCAATGGATTCTTGTCTGCTGTTCCTTGTCACCCTGCCTTCACTTTAATATCAGATGTATGTGCCTTAGCAAGACTTTGTTCCGTCAGCTTTTATCGTGGCTGAATAGATGTAAGAGAAGGAGATGGGAGGGAAGAATCACCACACTTTGCTGATATAGTTATCCCTCTCATTGTACGGATCCATATCCCGCTTTGCATATTCTGCTGCCTCCCATTTATTTCCCTCGCAGTGTTTCCTCTTTCAACCTCCCGTGATGCCACTTGCCGAGCCTCAGGAAGTGAGTTCGGACGGGCCGAGAGGATTCTTAATTGCCTTATTTCTAAGCTCATCCTTTCACCATTCGACCACATAAAACCTCACTTGCTTCTTCTTTCCCTTCTACTCTCAGTACAGCGATGCAATATGACTGAGGGAAAAAACACCGAGTCGAGGCAACCGGGGGACGGAACCCAGGTATGTAAAGTCTTTCTCCCTACCAGACCCGTTGTCACACACGACTCGTTTCTTCTCGGCTTAAGCGGTTGAGATGGTGGGGGTACGCTTCCGTTCAAAAAGGCAAGTGCCTCACGGCGGATGTCGCGCTCCGGCGCGCTGGTTTAATGGAGTGGATCCTGTCAGAGCTGCCCACGTCGCGCAGCACAGGCCCCGGGCTACGACGAGACTTCCAGGTTGCAAATCTGCTTAGTTCCAGCGCGTGTCAGCGGGTACCATCTACTGCACCCTTTTTTGGTCTCCAGCGTCCTCCATGCCACCGAAATTTCGACGTGAACCCCGTGGATGCAGGGCCAGCCTTTGCCTCGAGACCCCACTGCTAACCGCACTTTCGTGACCGAAGCAGGAGAGTGGGACAATACCGCCTACCGACACCGTCTCTTTTCCTCCTTTACCTTCCAGAGCGAGCTCTCCCTGCGATGAAACGACACAAAAGGGCGCACCTTCGTCTCCGTCCGACTTGTATGCGCCCTGTTCGACCCCGAACGCACCTCGACCTCATACCCCGAGACTGAGATCTGCTGCGGAAAACGCCGAGGACGGAGCTCTGGAGCAGACTGCGCATGCGGCAGAACGGGCGATTGGGATTGAGGAGAGAGGCAAGCAGGCCTTTTCGCAGGTTGCATATGTCTCTTCTAGCCAGAAAACTTTCATGAAGAGGAAAGGACGAACGTAGGCGGCAAAGCGGCAACGCAAGCCCTATTTTCCACGAGGACTTGGACTGACCTGGACTTTGAATACTACCTAGGTCCGAGGAGCTTCTACAGCGATACCGCGACGACGCCTGCAATTCGTTTCCCACTTACGGGTATGCCTCGATCCGAAACGAACAAGAGCAAAGAGACACCACTGACACTTACCCTTGTAGGACCTCGAAAGACGGAGTTCCCGTTCCGGATCCAATGGTGAGTCTGCTCTGCAAACAGCCAAGCACCTGGAACTGACGCTGGCACAGAGTACGAAAAACAGACGTTTGTTGAACGGCGGCTTGACCGGTGGAATCAACACTCTCCAAAGAGGCTCCGATGTATCTAGCAAAAGACATATCAACGAATCCCCGAGATTAGCCAAACGTCGAAAGACACAACCCGAAGCTGCGGCAACAGAAGCCTCAGCCCAAGCTGCCTTTACAACACAGAGTTTCGCTCCGATACCGACGTCGTCGTCTCTCTCACCGCAAACGCCCACATTGGTCGACTTGACGAACTCCCAGCAGCCAGCGGACGTGGAGGCAGCTAGCAACCGCAGCACGCATTCCCTCAACTCGACTGCAAACGGCAACGAGTTCAAGAACGTGGAGAAGGCGCATAATGGTCTCAGTAAGAAATCTGGAACTCGCCCTCGCCCTCGTCCCCGAAGACTGCAAGTCAGAGAATCAAAGAAGCCTGAGGGCTATGATTGCGATGTCGAGGACGAGATCGGTCAAGACCAGCCAGTCTTAGATAAGCGGGCTAGAAGGGATTCCAGAGAGGGTCCCAGAAAAGCGGCTTGGCGTCGCCCCCAGAGACGTACTGCAGAGGAGATAACCGAGGTCTCGGAGGACGACGAGCTTGCCATTCAGACGGGACGCAGTCGTCGAGCACAAGACGACATCTCAGACGGTGATGGAACGTCACTGAATGGAGCCACTGCAAACCGCACGCGAGGAGATATGACCAAAGTGAATTTTGGACAGTCAACGGCCAACCCCAAAGACGCTGTCCTCCAATCTGAACAGTCGCAGCCGGTCATTCCCAAAGACTTTGTCCTCACAGTCATGCGTGCCGTATCGGGAAAGGACACTTTCGAGGCTAAGAAGCCAGAGGATTGTATTCTTCTGAAGATTGGCCAGGACTCTAGGAGTCTGATCGCATTCGACCCTGCGGGCGAGCGCTTTTCGAAGAGTGGATGGCTGGATGTCAAGTTGATGTTCTGCACGAAAATATATTTTAGCACAACGGGTGCCCAATTTGCGGTGGTCTGGAGGTCCTCTACTGCCCAAATTGGAGGTTTGCTGGTCCTGGAATTTGCTGGCCCCGGAGACGCCCACACTCTTGGATTGTGGGCTGAGACCAAGGTCAACAGCTTTCCTACGCAGAGGACCGATTGTTCCTCCAAGGACAGGTGCGTCTTCCAATGGTTCGCTCTACATCCGATTATGCTAACAGGAAGCTAGCCAATATCTCCAGAAGATTTACGACAAGCAAAAGGCGGCTGCGGACAAGTGGGAAGACAGAAAAGACTCGCAGCCAGACGACATCAAGCTTCTGGAACACAAAGAGGCGAGCAAGACCAAGGCCGACGCAACGTCGGTGCCGTGGAGTCAGTCAAAACCAAGTCCCGTGAGGAACCCACTACTTCGCGGCAATATGAGGGCTGAAGATCCATCGCATTCGTCAAACCCCGAGTCAAAAACATCTGCCTACTTCGCTCCCACCCACTATAATAGCGCGACTGAGCCTCAACAGACCAAGGACTTACGGCCCAGAGAGGCAAGAAATACCGCCTCCAAGCGGGTTCATGAGTCTCCTCTTAGTATTTTCAAACGCAAATCCCCAAGCCCCGTTACGTGGATTCAGCAAAACCCTGATTGGGACAAGATATGGAATGAGAAACCGCTCATTTTCCCTGCTACAGGCAAGAACAGGTCATCAGTCTATCGTGATGACATTTCGCGGCTCGAAGAGGGAGAATATCTGAACGATAATCTCATCGGCTTCTACCTACGCTATCTTCAGGTTCACCTGGAAAAGGAGAAGAAATCAATATCCGAGCGGATTTACATCATGAACACCTACTTCTACCCGAAGCTGACCGACGTCAAGGCAGGTCGAGGGATCAACTACGAAGGCGTCAAATCTTGGACTGCAAAGGTTGACCTCTTCTCCTACGATTACATCGTGGTTCCCGTCAATGAGAGTGCTCACTGGTACCTGGCAATCGTCTGCAACCCATCCAAGCTGCTCAAGACGAATGATGGTGAACCCAAGATCCAGAACGTCAAGCCTTTGGATGAGACAAAAGAAGAGCCGAAGGAGAACGCACAGGAGAAGCTCGGAGCAATCTCTTCGGAAGAAGAAGGGATGGTATCTACTGTTGGCGAGCAAGTCGAGCAGATGAGTCTGGAAGAGAGCAAGCCTATCGAAGAAGAGAAAAAAGAAGAGCCAAGGCCTGGGAAGAAAGAAAAGGGACAGCCTGCGAAGCAACGCCAATCACGCAAAAGCACAGGAATCGCGGGTCGGAAGCAGGATCCCACAGAAGCCAGAGTCATCACTCTCGACTCTCTAGGCGTCGGGCACTCCCCTACCTGCGGCAACTTGAAGGCTTACCTCGTCCGAGAGGCCAAGGATAAGCGCAGCATGGAAGTCGAACCACCCGGTACATTTGGATTAACAGCAAAGAACATTCCCGAGCAGGAAGATCACGCAAGTTGTGGTGCGTTTCTTCTGGGCTACATGCGTGAGTTCCTGAAGGATCCTGACGGCGTAGTCACCAAGCTGGTTCGTAAGGAGCGCCTAGAATGGGATATCACGTCTCCTGCGATGCGAAGCGAACTACGCACTATCATCATCGAACAGAGGAAAATGCAGAACGCCACCTTGGCAGCAGAGAGGATAGCAAAACGCAAGTCTACCGGACAGCCGCTTGCTCCCGGTAAATTGCCCAGTGAAGGTCAAGAGAGCGAGCCTGCGACGCCGAGAACTCCTCAGCATGTTGTTGACGTGCCAAAGAACCCGTCATCCACTGTTAAAGGATCTCCGGCCATAGGCCGTCTCCCGCCCCACAATCGCAGCAGTCCGCCAGCAAAGACTAAGCCCAGCGACGCAACCCCTCTCTTAGCAGAACCCGAGTCTGCGACACACGATAGGCCTGTCACTGAGATCGAGAAAGCCACGGACGTTCCGCGAGTCGTTGATGTTGAGCAAGCCTCGGAGCTTGGAATTATTGAGCAGGCTGCGACTGATCCACAGGAACAGCATGACACAGCTTGTGAGCCTGGCTCGGCAGTCGATCATGCTATATCATCTGGCAGGACCAATCTTCCGACCAACCATGAATGTGACGTGATACGGGCTCTCGTGGATAATTTGGATGAGCAACCAGCGACGCCGAAACGTACAGCGTGGCACACCGGTACATCAGGTGGAGTTCAGCTCAGAACGAGCCCTCGTCATTCGAAAACCAAGGCGGTCGAGGCCAATGAGAGTTCCAAGATGCTGCCGGCACTTAAGCCGTCACCGGCCCAGTCTTCCGCGCAAAAGGCGTCAGGCTCTCGTGGTTCCAACAAGAAACTTGGCAACAGCCAAATGATGTTGGGCCCACTTGAGTCTTCACCAGCCCAGTCTGCCGGGCACAAAAAGGCAGGTCTCCGGGGTCCTAAGAGGAAACTCAGTAATAGTGAGGAGATGCTATGCAATCTGTCTTCGCCGCCGCCCAAGGCTGCTCGCAAGGATGAAAAGTATGGTCCGCAACCACCAAAAGGTGACTCGCCAAGTCAGCAACTGCTCGCTGAATTGCGTTCTCCCAGCGAGTCCACGCAAGGAGAGGGCTCGACGTCTAGGAGCGACGTCAAAATGCAAGATAGCATCATTATCGAAGACCCGGAATCCCCAAAGACGCCACCACGCACGTTGACGAAGACTCCTACACAAAAGAGTCATTACTTCCGGTCCAGGTCGTCGCCTCAGTCGGTCAGAGAGAAGAGGAATTTATCTTTGCAAGAGCAAAAAGTAAGGAGTAGCGTGATAACGAGCATCGAGCAGGACTCTGAGACGGTAGATCTCACAGTCAACTGAGCAGCATCTGCATCATGATACCCCATTTCGTAACGACTCGCGAAGGGCAGTTGAGTCAAGATGGAGACAATAATGAAGAGGTTGGATCTGTCGTATAGGTCGGCAGAGGAGTGAGGCAGCATTCGTTTTTCTGGACTGGTTGGCGCGAAGGCGTTTGTCCAAGTAGTGTCAGATGGCATAGCTATACCCCATACCCGTAGAACTTCACTTAGCGTCCTAAGCACGTCAAAGAGATGGCTTTTTTTTTTCTCGAAGACTCGAAGAGTGGCTGCAATTTTTCATGTCGCTATGACAGAGAGTAGAAGTAGAGGCTCATCTCGTAGTGCGTACAATGTGGTACAAGATCCTCTATAAGTGCTTTTCCCCCAAACGCCCCTCTCCTCTAAAGGGGACACCTCTATATGCTTTTCTTTACTCACTTCCCGAATCCGATGCATCATTATGGTTACCATTCACTTCCGGCTTTTTCAACAGCTTAGGCACCTCAAACACGTATCCTCCGTTCTTGGCGGTGCCCTTGCGCATCTGCCACCTGCCCAATCTGTGCTCTTTGCCTACCGCGGCCACGACACAAATACCGTCCTGCCCACGGTCCCCACGTTCAAAGATGGCAATGTCGTTGATCACACCCTTCAGGCCGCCAGCGGCACCTTCTGACTTGCCTTTGGTGGCCTTCGAGGCCTGCTCAGCTTCTGACGTAAGAACTCCCGCTTCCTCGAGCTTCCTCTTGTCCTCGCTGAGACGCCATACTCTTATGCAGCCGTCCCAGCTACCGCTGAGGATGACGTCCGAGTACGGGATCGACTTGAGCGCCGTGATCCACCGCGGTTGCGGCGGCGGTACGATGCTCGGATCTGGGTTGTGATCCGCCGAGACCTCGTCCGGGCGGAGGGGTTGTTCCAGGCCGTGGGCCATTGGGAAAATGTGAAGGGGCTTCTTTTTGGTGACGCTCCAGAGGGCCAGGGAGCCGTTGTCGCTACCGGTGACGAAGAGCTCGTCGTCGATCATGGCGACTCGGTCCATGCTACCCTCGTGCGGAAGAGAGCGCGGGTCGACGTCCGGACGGGACTTTTTATCTACCGCACCGCCGCGGAAGACGAGCTGTGTCTCCTCTGCGACTTTCCACAAGCGTGCTGTCCTGTCGCGGGCGCCCACGCTCACGCAGCGCTCTTGGGCGAGGGCGTCGATGTCGACAATCTCGTCCTGGTGGCCGAATAGCGTCTCGATGTAGGCGAGCTCGTCCAGACTCCAGACCTTGACTGTGCGGTCTTTTGAACACGAGTACAGCTGGTTCGTGCCGCGGCGGAAGGCGAGGCCGGTGACGGCGTCGCGGTGGTGAGTGAAGACGCGGAGGGGTTTGAGAGTTTCGGCGTCATAGATGATGAGCCTGCGGTCCTGGCCGCCCGTGACTACGTATTTGCCGTCGGGCGACGCCGCAACGCAGAGTATCTTTTCCACGTGGCGCTGGTACGACTTTTTCGTCGCCTGGGCCAGGCTACCCCTCAACCAGTTCTCAAGCTCGGGTCTCTTGCGCGGCGGCGCCGGCGGCTTCTTGGGCTTCTTCTTAGTCGTCTGCGGGAACTGGTGCTGGGGCAGGTCCTGTATCCTCCACTTGTGCAGGTACATGTCCTTTGTGGTGGTGTAGGCATAGGGCGCGTTGACGGCGACGGAGGTAAAGGTCTCGGTGTTGTTGCGAAAGAAGGACGAGGTCGCCCGGTCAAAGGCGAGCTCATCGGCGAGGGTGCGGTAGACTTTTCCCTTGGACTCGGCCACGTCCTCTTGCAACCTCTCGTTGATCAGGTCGCGGTCAATGTCGGCGGCGTCGAATCCCACCTCATCCACCTGCTGCTTGACATTCTCGAGGTACCGCTCGGCGAGCCTCAGCCGGCGCTCAGCGGCCGTCTCGCCCGCGGTCCCTTCGTCATCGGAAGACGAGCCATTGTCGCTTTCTTCGGGGGCGGAAGCTATGCTCTCGAGGTCAGAGTCGCTGCCCGAGATCGATTCGTCGTCGTCGTCGCGCTCATTTCGCTTTTTGGAGGCTGGTGCTGACGCCGCGGCGCCGGCCGTCTTCTTGCCTCTGCTGCCTCTGCCGGCCACTGCTGTAGTAGATTTCGGAGGGGCTCTGTTGGAGGTCTTTGAGGCGGCAATCCGCTTCTTGGGGGGGGCGGGGGCGTCTGTTCTCTTGCGTTTCTTGTTGGCGCCGGGTATCGTGAAGAAGGACGACATTATGGGCAGTAGAGCGCGGTGCTTTGCCTGGGAATCTGGGCAAACAACTTTCCGTCCTGGCCCGCCTACATTGACGATATTTTTTTTTTCGCCCGCTGCTCGAGGTGGGCTTCTCAGAAAAAAAAAGTTCGGTGGGTACGTATCTCGGAGAATCAGATGCCAGTGTGGGGTACGGATGCACCCAATCATGAGCAGGTCGACCAGGGGTCGGTTTTTCCGGGCAGCGGCGGTCTCTCTAGGCAGAATCCGCCCAGGACGGCTCATCCGTTCAGGCTGTAGCTCGACTGCGCGTTCCGGGGGGTAGCTCGAACGTACCTGGACTGGGCAGGTTGAAGGCTGACGAACACCCGACGCTCAACACCAAAACGAAACATCACCATCCTTTCCCCCACAACAAAACCAATCAGACAACAACCTCAAAAACAGCCAGAATGTGAGATACCAGCTTGTTGTTTCTCTGACTTTTGGAAATGCAACAAGCTAATGTGGAATGCGATTGGCAGGGAGGTACTACTCGGCATCACGGGCAAGGACTTCACTATCATCGCAGCTTCCAAAGCTGCCATGCGTGGTGCAACCGTTCTGAAGACTGCCGACGACAAGACGAGAGCGCTGAACAAGCACACATTGATTGCATACTCTGGAGAGTCGGGCGACACCGGTCAGTCACCTGCATCATGGAGCTCCCAACCCCGCCGGGGAAGGAGGGGCGAGCATTGAAGCACACCCCTCCTCCACTGTCCGCTCACGATGTGTGAGCTACGATTTGCTGACTTGAGCTCGACAATGTGCAGTGCAATTCGCCGACTACATCCAAGCAAACTCCCAGCTCTACTCGATGCGCAATGAGACAGACCTCTCCCCCTCCGGCCTCGCCAACTTCGTTCGCGGCGAGCTCGCATCGAGCTTGCGGTCGCGGAAGCCGTACAACGTCAACCTGCTCCTCGGCGGCGTCGATCCCATCACACAGAAGCCCGCACTGTATTGGCTGGACTACCTCGCGTCGCTGGCACCCCTTCCATATGCCGCCCACGGCTACGCACAGTACGTTGACTAGCTCTGGAGCTTCTCTGTGAATATGTTGCAGCTTTGCGGCCATGTATAAGATGAGGGCCAGGAACAGTTTAGCTAAAACGGGGACGTAAAACAGATACTACTGCTTGTCGATTCTCGATAAACACCACCACCCCGACATCACGCTCGGCCAGGGCATCAAGATCCTCAACTTGTGCACGGACGAGCTCAAGAGACGGTTACCGATCGACTTCAAGGGCATGACAGTCAAGGCCGTGACCAAGGACGGAGTCGTGGACATAGAGTTCGACGACGACAAGGTGGTGAAGGCTGCTTGAGGCGGCCGGCTTGCGAATGCAATGACGGGAAATGAGGGGCCTTTCGGGATTCTGGTGCGAGGAAGCATCAGAGACAAGAGAGGCAGAACCAGCAAAACTGTACCACTAGACCGGGCTGGTAATTGATACAGGCATCACTTCTATCACGACGAAACGCCAGTCCTGGAGACACGTTGTCCCGTGCTTCATCTATGGCCGAATAACTCGAATATCTCAAGCGAGAGTTTGATTTGCTGATGCTATTAAGGATGGGACCATTGACACGATAAACAAGGGACGGCATTATTTCAATTTCGGGCTTGACCGTGCTCGACGGCAGAAAATGGTTGCTGTATCCGTTCACCGTAGCAGTGATAGCGACTGAGCCGGTGCTAGAGAGTAAACATCCAACGAAGGAGTGGGGTGGTGTTCAAGCAGTGAGGTCACGATTATTCTTAGGTACAGGTTCCAGGAAGCAATCCATGGTTCTGAAACGGTGCCGGGCCGCTCACTTTTCAGAAGAGCAGCGGTCGGAACCGCTCGAATCGTTCGTTCCTCTGCCTTTTCACTGGGAAGTCTGGCGCTTCAGCCGAGGGGGAAACGAACGGCCCAAGTTAGACCTCGTCCAATCTCTCGCGTGTTTTATAAGGATGTTGTTCGTTGACGAGGGAGGGATGCATGATAATTGAATGGGGCGGATGATGTTCCGGCCGGTCGACCGGTCTGTTCAAACACACCTAGACCCAGATGTACCGTTGTATTTCAACTCCCGGCGTTTGACTCGCATCCTTTCCCTTTGAACCTTGGATGTTTCCCTGTCTTTGGTGGCTGACTAGCTGCGCAATTGATTCTTTATTGGTTCAACTGGCGGGTTCGGCGGCTCCGATGTCTTCGACGCTTGAAGCCTCTTCCCCCCTTCCTTCATCCCCTTGTGGTGTGTCGGCGCTCCATGCAGGTTTGGTTTAACGACAAAATTCATGTGCTGTGGTGTCGGAATCCCGAGAGAACGATGCACTGCCATGTGGAAACTCAGCAAGAAGCGAGTTCTCGGCGGTGCCCCCACGGAATGACGTCTTTCAGTCCTGTCAATCGAGGTCTCAGATTCCTACCCAAGCACTCAAAGTCTCGTCCTGGGAAATGCACTTTTTCCGTTAAACTACATCAACCTGTTGGTGATGAATGAGATCCAAATGTATATTTCTGCTGTGTTAATGGTGGCAGGACTGTACGCATACAGAATCAGAGGTTGGGCAGCCTATCGAAAGGCCATGTCTCAATGATTTTGTTTGTGGTCACGGTGAAGGGGAATAATACTATGTGCCTCGACCAAGCCAAACTCTTCAAGCCTGGCTCTGACCTCGTCGTGAGAACAAGACTTGGTCCTGTCAGTCCTACCTTGGCTAAGGATATGCACGACTTGGATTATATCTAATCGCCACTTGGACTCCAGGCTCCAGCCCTCCATATCCATTACATCGACATGCGGGGCACCCTGTAACCCCGAGTTTCTATGTCTTGTTCCTTCCCATCTACGGATACGCTAGTCTGACCCTGCCAACCAAAAACCAGCCCCAACACCCAGCCAAGAAATCACACTTAGGTACCAGCCTTCAGCAGTAATCTTGTCGCGATGTGTTTGTCATGAAATTTGGCATGCACCCGTTCCTTCAAGAGCATCAATACCGTTGGAAAACCCAGAGTTGGTCGGTACAGAGGCACCAGATTTTACCTAGGGAAAAAGATCGGAACACACAGCCGTCTTGGACTCCAGGGTCCGTTCATGCGCGGGCCGTAGCGCTGGACGTGACGTTTGTTCACCTCAGCTGAGGCAGGGCAGTCGGGTAAGGTACCTTACGTTGTACCTTCCCTCGTGTACGTACCGCGTATCTTTCGCGGTTTCTCCTACCAACTCTGCGTTGTCCAGTTAAAAGACTGCCACTGGATTGGTTCCCGTTCCCTCCCTCCTCTTCAGCCCACAGGAAGGCGATACCTACCTTACCTAAGGAACCTTGGTGAATGAAAAAAAAATTTAGTACGTGGGGGATGGGAAAAGCTGGATGGTTGTTTGTTGGGGACAGTTTAGCGTGGCCTGTCACCTCACATGTCATCATACTCTGCCCCCTTCACCCTGTAGAAAGCAAGCACATGCTTACACGTCCTCGAGTGTGGCCAATCCGGTGCTTCGGTTATCCACCCCTTGGCGGGCAGTAGCGGCTGAGAGGGAGCCTGGAGCCTGTCGTGCGCTTTCCTCCTGAGTCTTGCCTGCTTGGAGCCTGAGCGGCCGGTGGGCGTATGGACAGGCACTGGCTGGGCTCCAGGCTGGGGGCCAGTCCAGTCGAGGCGAGGGCGGCCCCCAGACTCAGAGAGCAAACAAGGGAAGGAGCGCCTCCACAAATTTTTTGGGAGGGAAGGTACGGTGGTGGTACGTGGGTGCCAGAGCCAGCAGCGCCCAGTGCTGACGGAGGCAGGTTGGCAGGGGTGTGTGGCCTTTTCTGGTGGATTCCGACACAATCTCAAACCGAATTTTTTTTTTCTCCCCTACTTCTTGCCTCCTCCTCCGATCTTCAAAATCCCTTTTCTCTCCCACAACCTCCCCCCCTCCTCCCACACAAAACTCTTCCCACCCTACAAAAACAAAAGGGATTATTCTCTTTCAACCCCCATCCCCTCACCGACACATCACTTTTCATCACTTGTTCTCTTGTCTTTCCTTTGAAGCATCTTGGGAAAAGCAAGTCTTAAGAACTAATCGTCGTGCGCCTCAGCACTACGCGCCTGCCTAATAAACGAACACCCATCGAGAAGGACAAACGTTGGAAAGTCAGCCCCCAACTTTCTGTTTTTCTTCCTCTTTTCCATCCTTCGGTTTGCTTGTTTTATCAACCGCGGACCGGCTTCCCTTCACTTCGATTTTACTCCTTCGCTGTCTTTTCAGTCGTTTCGAGAGTAATCCGACCACGTCGATCGATTCCAGATACCCTTCAGTCGACACTCGAGCCATCAAACTCTTCCGACACCGGTCACGATCAAATCATCCATCATGGCTGACCAACTCAACATGTCTGGCCTGAACATCCAGGACCAGCAGAACCAACCCCGCTCGTACATCCCGCCTCACATGCGTAAGATGGGTGGTGCGGCTCCTCCGGCGATGAACGGTGGCGGTGGTGGTATCAACAACAGCGCTTGGGCTGCTGGGTGAGTCCTTCTTTCCCTCTTCTCACGATAAGGGCGTTTTGCCCATATGCGTTTTGTCACAAGCAACAACCGCTAACCATGTACAACAGCAACCAGCAGAACTTCAACGCTGCCCAGCCTGGCGGCGACTGGCCTGCTATGGGCGGCCCTGGCGGTCCCGGCGGCCCCCCCGCTGCTGCCCCTGCTCCTCAGCAAAATTTCCACCCCCGCGGCGGTCGTGGCGGCTGGCAAGGTGAGGGCGGCGGCCGCGGTGGTTACAGCGGTGGCGGCTACGGTGGTCACGCCGGGGGCGGTGGTGGCCAGCAGGCTCGCGGCTCTGGCGATGGTCAGTGGCGTGACGGCAAGCACATTCCTGGCCCCGTCAACCCTCGTGTTGAGCGTGAGCTCTTCGGTACCCCCGACGACCCGTCCAAGCAGCACACCGGTATCAACTTCGAGAAGTACGATGACATCCCCGTCGAGGCCTCTGGACACGACGTTCCCGAACCCGTCCTTACCTTCTCGAACCCTCCTCTCGACAACCACCTCATCAGCAACATCGAGATGGCCCGCTACAAGGTCCCCACCCCCGTCCAGAAATACTCGATCCCCATCGTCATGGGCGGTCGCGATCTCATGGCTTGTGCCCAGACCGGTTCCGGAAAGACTGGTGGTTTCCTGTTCCCCATCCTTTCCCAGGCCTTCATCAATGGTCCTTCCACCATTCCTCCCAATGCTCAGGGTGGCTTCGGTCGCCAGCGCAAGGCTTACCCCACTTCTCTGATTCTGGCTCCCACTCGTGAGCTGGTCTCCCAGATCTACGAAGAGTCTCGCAAGTTTGCGTACCGTTCCTGGGTTCGCCCTTGCGTCGTCTACGGTGGTGCCGACATTGGCTCCCAGCTCCGCCAGATCGAGCGCGGCTGCGACTTGCTCGTTGCTACTCCGGGACGTCTTGTTGACCTCATAGAGCGTGGTCGCATCTCTCTGCAGAACATCAAGTACCTTGTGCTCGACGAGGCTGATCGCATGCTTGACATGGGTTTCGAGCCTCAGATTCGCCGTATTGTTGAGGGCGAGGACATGCCAAATGTTCAGAACCGCCAGACTCTCATGTTCTCAGCTACCTTCCCCCGCGACATCCAGATGCTCGCCCGCGACTTCTTGAAGGACTACGTCTTCTTGTCCGTCGGTCGTGTCGGTTCCACCTCTGAGAACATTACTCAGAAAGTCGAGTATGTCGAGGACGTTGACAAGCGCTCTGTGCTATTGGACATTCTCCACACCCACGGTGCTGGTCTCACTCTTATCTTTGTCGAGACGAAGCGTATGGCCGACTCTCTGTCGGACTTCCTGATCAACCAGAGCTTCCCCGCCACCTCTATTCACGGTGACCGCACTCAGCGTGAGCGTGAGCGCGCTCTCGAGTTCTTCCGCAACGGCCGTTGCCCTATCCTGGTGGCTACTGCTGTCGCCGCTCGTGGTCTTGATATCCCCAACGTCACCCACGTTGTCAACTATGACTTGCCCACCGACATTGACGACTACGTTCACCGCATCGGTCGTACTGGTCGTGCCGGAAACACTGGTCACTCCACCGCATTCTTCAACCGTGGCAACCGTGGTGTCGTCCGCGAGCTTCTTGAGCTTCTCAAGGAGGCTAACCAGGAGGTTCCCAGCTTCCTCGAGACCATTGCTCGCGAGTCCTCCTACGGTGGTGGCCGTGGTGGACGTCCTCGCGGTGGCGGCCGCGGACAGGGTGCCAACCGTGACTTCCGCAAGTACGGCGGTGGCGGTGCCGGCGGCGGAGGCTTCGGTGGTGCCCCTGGCGGCGGCGGCGGCGGCTT